ACAGATATTAAAATATAACGTTGATAAACGGAAACATCGGCGCATATAAAAGCTATCTTCAAGTTTTGTACACCAAAAAAAACTTTTCACATATAAAAGCTATCTTCAAGTTTTGTACACCAAAAAAAACTTTTCACATATATATAAGCTATCTTCAAGTTTTGTACACCATAGTAATTCGTTACAGACCTCTCTTTTTAAAGGCAGACAAAAGTAGTAATTCTCCGAAATAAATATAATTAAGACGTATTTATGTGCCATTTAGAAGTTTACTACATTCTTCAGAAAATTTCAATAGTTTTTGAACTTTCTGTTTTTGAAATAAAATAAAAATCTGGCTAACTTTTATTTTAACGAAAGTTTTTGTACCAATGCTATTACTAACAGTATAGCATTAGAAACGGCATCTTATGCGCACGTGGTCTGAATCTCTAGGATTTAGGCGTGGCCGTCCCTAATTATGAACTACTGACCAGAAGGGGAGAGAGCCAGTCAGCAGTAGTAGCCGCGACAAATATTTTATTCGGCTTTTTGAACCGAATAACAAGATTAACCCTCATTTTGAAGACGCTTATACAGCTGAAAATATGAATGTGTTTAGGCGGCTTCACGTCTCGAACCCTGAACCCTTCGATCCGCAGTTCAACACGTTAACCACACCTGGTCAAAAAAAAAAATGTAGACAGTTTGTGACGAGGTTTAAGAAAAAAAACAAACAATTATGATCGTTAACGGACTGAATAAATAAATAAAAATATATAACACAAATTAATGTTTCACTTACGTCCTTACGTCTTGATGTTGATATGAAACTTTTGTGATTGGAGTCGGAAGGTAAATTACTATGAATCGCAGGATTTTGTGACCCCCCCCCCTCATGGTATTTTAGGTGTATACTGAATGCAGTTCAACCATTTTTTTCCCAGTCATGAATAATTCAAACCAGTTGTATATTCATTCAGAACATTCAGTGAAACACGATAATGGTTAACTGTTAAACCGTCTGATGCCCATCCTGTCCCTCAAGTAACAACAAACGGATTAGTGGGCTGCTAGAGCTTAGCCATAATTGGTTCGTTGTAGGGACGTCGTAAAATATTGTCTGTAATTAAGCACAAGGCTACACAATGGGCTATCTGTGCTCTGCCCACCACGGGTATCGAAACTAAAAACAACTAGTTGCGAGTCTTTGCAGATGGGTTTCATATTTGAATACCAAGTTTTGGTAATAGTTTTTTTGGGTTATACAGATCGTGGTAAAGAAAAAGAAGAAATAAATACTCAAATGTCAGAAGACAAATCTAGAAAGTTCAGTGAAGTTGTTTTGATGCTGTCTTCTCTTTCGTTTCGTTAACGCATAGCTATAGAATAGTCTATCTACGCTGTTCCGCAGCGAGGATCGAACCTCGAACTTTAATATTATAAGCCCTCTAGCTCCCCCCCCCCTGAGCCACCAGTGAACGTTACGATTACTGTAGAAATTAACTGTATTTTTTC